GGAGATATTTTCTTGGAAAACTTTAGTACCAACTAAGCATTGCAAAAAAGTCACAGCATGCCTGAGTATTGTTAATGTACAGATAACACTCCATGTCACAAAGATCAAATTATCTCAACAGTGAGTTCACTGTACTCAAACGACGCAGTCACCATATCTCAATCCACTAAGATGTGGGGGAATTGGAGATTTGCATCATGGATGTGGAGCAGACAAATCTAGAGCAACTGTTTGATGCTGTCATGTCAATATGGACCACAAATTTTTGAGGAATGTTTTCAGCACTTTGTTGAATCTGTGTCCTGGAAAATTTAGACAGTTCTGAAGGCGAGGAGTAGGGGAGTGGGTGCAAACCAATACTAACAAAATATACCAGATCAAGTGTCCAGTGAGTGTGCCCTTCTTGTTATTAATGTTTAATTTATAGCAGTATGTTTCCTAGATTATTGGAAGGAAATTCTTTGTACATATACACTAAATGAATATTGCACCTGGGTTGTCTTGTAAAGCAAAGGACCAGCAGTTCCAAGTATGTGATATAAACGATCGATATAGAGAAATTTCCCTGCACATCAAAGTGAGCGAGAATGTTTGAACATAAAACCGAGACGTCGAGTTCAGCAGCACACCAGCTACAAGCAGGGACTGGAACGAGACAGATTTTTGTCTCTGGTATTTCAACACTGGGGCAGATCAGACATACAGTATGAATTACAAACACAGCGCACATTCCAGCAATGCAAAATGGCCACACCCTTGAAGAGTAGAGATTGTGTGTGTGTGTGTGTGTGTGTGTGTGTGTGTGTGTGTGTGTGTGTGTGTGTGTGTGTGTGTGTGTGTGTGTCTGACATTCAGAGAGACAGAATGGGGGGAGGAGGGTAGTTAGATGTCCCACATAGGTTTCTCCCACCTGCCCATGTCATGTGACTTGGGGTGACAGGACAGCTGTTACCTCCCATGAGAGGGCTGAAGAGGATAAGAAGAGGTGCAGAGTTAAATTGGATATATTTTAAGAGTACAGACTGAAGACCTAAATTCTATGTAACCTGTAGTTTTTGTATTTTGTATGGCTTTACAACCCACACATATCCATACACATCCTCCACTGACAATAAAGGCATTCAACTCAATCGTCAGGAAGACGTGAGAGAAAAGAAACTTGGAGGTGTGAGGGTGTTGTGCTGTTTTATGATCATGAAATACTGTTGCTGAGTGATACAAAATACAGGTTATTTTGTATTTTTTACACTTATGATTTTGTCTAAGGTAGGGTGTCAAACATAAGGTGTGAGGGTCAAAATCTGCTCAGCGAAGATTCCAGTTGGGCCCACTGGATGACTTGGGAAAATATAACTTTTGTACTTTTAACTATATTTTAATAGGTTTTACAGCTTTTCCTGCTGATAAAGCTCTCCCCTGGAAGCTTTCATACTACACTTAAGTAGATATGTAAAAGATAAACAATAAAATGACAGACGAATTTATGTTTTTCATTGTGGACTATAGAAATTTCATCAATCAACAAAAAACTTAATGTTTTATAAATATAGGACAGTCTGAGCAGTGAGCTACAAGAAAATTGATCATGTATAGAGACTGAGATGTGCTGTTGAAATTACACTTCATCTCATATCAAGATATATCTGGGATTAAATATGTCGCTAAATGTCTTTACACTGACAGAAAGTGCAGTTTCACTCCTCTGGCCCACTTAATATCAAAGTAACCCTCAATGTAAAATGAGTGTGGCATCCCTGGTCTAAGGCGTCATGATATCAAATCAAAAATTAACATGACAGGATCAAATGTGGCTGTTCAGCCATGCTTACACAGATATCCTGTACATTTTTAATCAGCAAAATGTAATAATCACATTGGCAATCAGCACCATATTAGCAAGTATTATAAGTGGAAGAAGTCAATACATGTAAGGGTAGCTCAGTTTTACATGCAAAAGTACCCTAGTCGCCCTTTGATCTTGTACTAATGAGTGCGCATTTAACACCAGCAAGAATTTTATTATCTTGTTCCAGCAGTCAACAGGATAACCTGAAATACTTTTAGGACCTTACATCCCCCAAATGAGTTTATATGGCTGAACTGTCTGGTTATGGAGATACTGCGAGTTTGATACTATCCGTGTAATATAAGCAGCATTAAATTTACACAACACCAACGTCTTTTCCAGGAAAAATTGTTTTTTAATGTTAAACTTTTTTTAAAACATCAGTTGTTCTTGTATTTCTTTTTAAGCCACACTATCATAATTGCAATTTGGAATGATAAAAATAATTTGTTGCGACCTTTTATATACCTAAACTGCTCAGAAGTGTTAAAAAATAGTGTTTGTTTTAATCTTGAAATTGTTATTGCCTTAATATGAAATAACTTGTTAAATGTTAATGTTAAAGGATTTTTTTTTTCCACAAAGGGCTCCTTCCAATTCTGCCTGTGTCCGCTCAGCATCTCTGCAGATGATGTATTGAGGAGCAGTCACTGAGAAGTACACCAAACTGCCTGAAAAGCAGTTTTCAGATGGTAGAGCGCAACACTTGGACAGAACAGACATCATCGATGCTCACTGCTGACTCTCGCTTCAAGTGTTCTCAGCTGTTCGGCTGATTCAGCTGATCCTGCACTCTTTGACCACCATAAAACTCATCAGTGTTTCATCTCCGTGCCACTGCTGCTGTTGCTTCTCTTGCTTCTCTTCCTTCCCTTGCTTCTGGCTCTCCTGCAGTTGTCGTTCCCTTTTGGTGGGAGTCAACTGACAACTGACTTACTCACGACCCCCACGGGTGCTTGGGTGTCCATAGGCTGCTCATTCTTTTGCCAGGAGCCACTGCAAAGTATCACGTGGAAAAGGAATGCTTAATGTGAGGAAAAACTGAGCTTTTGTCATGACCAACTGTGATGGAAATGTGCACAGCATCTTCACGTAGTTACACTGTTTAAAACGAGTGTCAATTATTGATTGATTTATTGAATGTATGCTTATTTTATTGGTTTTAAACTAAATGTGTTGCATTTTTGCTGCCCTCTTGCTGGTTTTAATTACTATCCTGTTATTCTTTTAATTTTTAGGCTGTATCATTTTTATATCAAGTCCCTTTTTTTAATGGTTTCATGCACTTGATGATTTCTGTTTCTGTGAAAGACTTGGTTGTTTTATCAACAATAATGCATATGTTGTTTTAAATAAATATTAAAATAAACTAAATATTTATTACATACACAACATAGTTGTTAAACCTTATCCAAACTAAATGGTTCAGTTTAAGAAATTTTACGAGGAAATAATGAGCCTGAACAAGTAACAGTTTAATATCTTCCCTTATAATTACCCTTTATTATCCTCTACAGTGAGGCATTTAGTAAAAATTCCATCTGATTTACTACTATTTATATACACACATACTGTATATCGATACACAGGAGGATGTATGGTGTCACATCGCCTTCAGGTATTGGTTTCTATGACAAGAAACATTCACAAAGTGATCCAGTTATTATTTGAAAGACAGTGTTTAACAAAGTTATTAGACCAAAAACTTGTTTAAAAAATCATATTTTTGTTTATTAGGCAGGATTAAAACCTGAAATCAGGTTTTCAGAAACCCCTAAAACTGCTTTTTCTGTTCAGAAATGAAAATAAATAAATATAATTTGGCATCTTAATCTAAAACTAAAAACATTTTGTCAAATAGTCAATTTGAAAATTCATGGATAACAACAATAGTTACATTTTAGCACTCAAAACATTCTTTGATTAAAGAGCTGGCACATACTCGTGGATTAACCATTACAGAAACATTCCAACAAGTCATTTTAGTCATTTCTAATACTAATAGATGCTATGATTTTTAATATTAGCAGTTAGATGTGCTTGCCTGCGAAGTCATTTCAGCCTGTCATTGCCATTATGTAATTGAGCTCACAAAACATCCTACCATGCTTTGGTACAATAGCACAGTGAATATGATCGTTTAATAAAATTGTACTTAATTTGTCCCCTGCTATCGTCCAAAATCAGACCTCATGTGTCACCTCTGACTGCTGCAGTAGGCCCTTCTAGGGTGACACAGGCTCCAGTGTAACACCCAGAACCCTTTCATGTCCTAACTGTCGGGCTGGTGAGAAAAGTGTGGGATGTGTTTCCTGTTTTGGCACCTTTGGATGGCTTCAGTATCAGACTGAAGCCTAGTCCCAAGCACCTCGAGGCAACTGTTCTGGTGATTTGGTGCTGACTTGAATTGAATTACTTAGGGTGCCACATTAATAACAAACTTTTTTCTCTGTTGGTGAAATGAAATGAAAACTCTTTGCTGTTTTCTAACCAAACACCAAACAATAAAGACGCTGACGTCACCAACTGCTGCATTTCCTCACTCCTAAATCTCACATCCTCAGAGCATCCGTTTAAATCCTTCTGTCCTCTCCTTGAATCATGTGGGCGAGTTTCTTTCACCTCTCCATCACCTGTTCTCTCTTTCAGCATAAATGCTGCTGACCTTTGACCTTTCTGCTCCATTGCTTCGCGACACGGACCGGGCTTCCTTTGGCAGCTGTGTCAACCTCGATGCTGGCAACTGCTGTGCCCAGGGAAGGACAGAGAGCGCCATTAATATCAGACCACGTAATGAGTCAGCAGCACAGTACCGTCTTACCATTGTCAGGATTAAGCAGCTCACTATTGCTTTTTCAACTAGGCCAGCTCCTAATCTTTTTAGTGTGCCTTTAGAATACATTAAAAAATGTGTGTGAATTTTTTAGACACTTTAAGCTATTATCTGTTGCCATGATGCCAATTTTACAATCTCAAATCCCAGTTTTAGTCTTACTTCTAAGTTATTTGTTGTTAAGTTATTAAGTTATTTATTAACCCCCCACCCCCACCTTCCACCACCACCACTACCTCCTACAGGAGCTTTCCTGCTAAAAGAGGTGGGGGTCACTCCGTGTGCGTGTGTATGCGCAAGATCTGGTCTGGTGTCAGCTGCCACTTTATTTATACCAATAGAATTCCATATTATCCGCTGTTGAAGAAACTGCTCTGGAGTTCATCATTCAAAGCTCCTGTCTGCTGTCCTGAGGGAAATTATTTCCTCCTGCCAAGTGAAGTGTGTTGTGACCTCCCCAGAAGCAGTGGGACATTGGCAGCAGGGCAGATGGGTATGACAGAGGGGAACAAAGTGATTAGCAAACGGGGGCCCCGGTATGTGAACGGTAGTTAAAAATAACCTCCCTAGCCCAATTTGAAGATAACATGCAGCTCGGGCACTTAAGCCCCTTCACTGACTTTCCCCCATGTTGATTTAATTGATCTCAAAATTGGTGAGCAAGTCAAAATCCTGTCATCCAGTGTCCATGTTTACAGTGAGTTCTGGAAGTATAAAGAATCACCAGACTGGATGACTGGAAGTCAAATTTTAAAAAAAAAACAGAAAAGGTGTAGACAGATGAAAAAAAAATCAGAGGGTAAGGTGAGCTCTTCTGAATGATGGATGACACATGATGAAGGAGAAACAGATGATTAGATGAGAGCGTTCGCTGGCAAAGCCCCGGCCTGTGCGCCAGTATGTGACAGTGATCAGCTGTTCCCGCAAAAGAGGAACACAAGGATTATGATTTGTGTCTTTACCATCGTGTCCGGTGCGAGCGACCAAGAATTCACTCAGCAACAAAAGTCATCCGATATTCCAAGCGCTCAGATGTAACGAGCAAGGCCGTGGCACATCGCTGGCATTAGTGGAAATGTTGCATTTGTGATACACCCTGGCTCGGCGCCATGGGAAATATTGAACAACTGTCGAATTTAGACAACATCCTGTGGGGTGAAAAAAAAAAAACGGGAGCCACAAAGATGCAGCCAGGTTGCTATTTGTGGACGGCAAGTGCCTCGAAAATAGCGAGAGCGTTAGGTTTCAATATAAGCCCCTCTCTCTGAGCTTGAGCTTTCTGTGAATGAGGCCCGGGTTCCTATCACACCCAACCCCGGCGCTGATTTTAGAACACAGGTGTTGACCTTAGTGGGGCAGCTTGTGCTTGCTGCAGAGGAAAATGAACCCCCTGAGCCTGGGCCTGTTTGCCTCTACACTGCTGGTGATCAGTGCGTGTAGATGCTTCAGCGCTGTCACACCTTCAGACCTGTCATTCTATACGGCAGCACGTATCCTGAGAAAAGACATATTCTTCCAGGCTTTGGATTTTTGCCTCCTAAAGTGGCTCATTTCACATCGAGTGCTTGCGTTCTAAGAGTCATGGTGGCAGAATGGTCATCTTGTGGCCACTGAAGAATTTATTGCTTTCTTTTTATGATGCCACAGGAGCACCTATATATCCTTCTGGCCATGCTTCGTGGACAGAGGTTTACTTTATAGTTTGTCAAAGCATTTGCCACATTTGGTGCACTGTGAAGCATACAGGCTTCTTATCATGTGATGTCTCCCAAAGGGACCTGTTTCAGTTGCCCGAATCACCGCATAAAGGGGCCTGAAATGTTATTTTGTGAACTTGATAAGCACATACGTCACTTTTTCCTCCCCGGTAAACGATGCAATGAAGCTAAAGTGAATCAAAGAAGCCAAAGAGGGCTGAAACTCAACCTTGGCTTCGGCTGTGACTCACGGCCTGCCGTAACTGCTGCTCTGACTGTACCCCCAGACCCAGTAAAACACGCCCCTCTTGCAGTTGCTTCCTTGTTTCTCCCTGTATCCCCTTTTCTTTTCTTTTTTCTTTCCCTTTCTTTTTTTTTATCCAAAAAGGAGCCATTGACATTCGGTGTAAAATAGAGGCAGGGTGGGGTGGGGGGGGCCTGAACAGAGGAACGGCAGGGGTGTAGGATGTCTCGAGCCCAGTGTGAACAGCTGAGAGGTGTGATTTCACAGGCTGGCTCCCCTCTGTCAAAGCGCTGATTGGGCCGGACAGGAGGCGCAGGAGAGGCCCGGGCTTCTAAAGGACACCAACAGGTGGGAGGCCGCATTGGAGGGGGCCGCTCCTGGAGCCATAGAAAAGGCCGATCTGCAAGGCCTGCTGTGGGCACAATCCACTGACCAGATACAGAGGAGGATGGGTGATCACAGGAGAGCTGAGGGTGAAGCCGGGGAGTGGTTTTCAGAAAGCGGAGGGTTAGTTTCATGAGCTTGGCTTTAAAGGGTGGATAAAAGGCAGAGGACAACTTCAGGGATGAGGAGTAAGGTTGGTCTGAGTTTTGTCTGTTTTTGAATCACTCCTGTGATTTCTCCTTCTAAAACTTTAGTTCACAGCGCAGGAAGAGACAAAGTCATATGTCAGGCAACAGAATTTTCGGGTTACTGTGCTTGTGTGGTTTCAGCTTAACTTCAGCACAATATGAGTAAAAATCTGGTATCAAACCAGCTTTCTCTCACTTTTACTGAAGACACAGCACAACATGGCAGCCAGTTGTGTCAGGTGAGGGGAAGCTGAGATGTGATGCAGGAAAGAATCAGGAAATCTGGTGCCTCTCAGAGGAGTCGTCCTAGTCTAATTACAGTAGACGAGACAGACTTTCTGGTGGCCATTTGGTTCAGAAGTGTTTAGATTTATCGAGGAAGTCACCACTTGTGAAGGAGAGGTGGACTGAGGCCTTCATCTTAACCCCATTTACTCACCGTGAGAAAACCACAAGAGGCGCAAGGAGACCAGACCAAGGTGAGTAAAACACATTTTTTTAATAATCAGCTCAAGCTATTTTAATAAGGGGTTGCAATTAAAATGAATTTAATTTTTTCCGCTCTTAAGGATCACTTGACACAACTGTCGGCATCACGTTGACTTGGCATGGCACGATGTTTGGGAAATAAAAAAAGGACGATGACCTTTGTTTGATGGGAGTCGGTATTTGCCTCACCTGCCTGAGTTATTTAAACTCGTTTCAGCAGCATCACACTGGCATTATCCATCAAGTATCTGCCAGTATGATCAGTCCCGTCATCTGTCAGTGTCAGAAAATTCACTTTTTACTTGTCTAATAAAACAATGGTCAGGTTTAACCCATACAAATTGCTTCTAGCTTCATGGAGATGATAGAAGCCACCATTCTGTGCCTCTCATGCTCCATTATTCCTTTATTCACTCACTCACTCTGTCACAGTTAACCGCTGTTAAGCCGGTTCTTCCCGCTACTCTTCACGCGTGGCTATGAAAGGGTGCTTTGTGTCTCGAGGAGCAGCGAATCCAGTTGTTGTCCCTTGTGAGCACATGCTTCCTTATATCCCCATATTAATACGCCACTTATGGAATGTAAGGAAGTGTGTGGTTTCAAGGGGACCTGAGCATCGACGTCGACATTTCTCATATTGTCCTTTCATTTGTCTTCATTCAGAAAATTGTGTGAGGGTGTCTGTCTACTTTATATGTGTGTGTGTGTGTGTGTGTGTTGTGTAAAGCGCTATACAAATACAGGCCATTTACCATTTGGGGGGTGTCAGAGTTCATGACCATGTGTGTGTGTGTGTGTGTGTGTGTGTGGTAGGACAACAGGTGAAAGGCCTGTTCCCTCTCCTTCAGCTCAGGCACGTGTGCAGTTAGCATTACTCCCAGGGCCGCTGATCGGGTCTCAGGGACTTCTTGAAAAATTCCTGCCCCAACTGCTGACAGTCAAGGAGGATTGACAGAGCACAGCTGTCACCCATTATAGCAACCGCGGAGCTCTCAAAAAGGGAAGAGGGGAGGGAAGGGCAGAGATGCAGGAGCTGTCACTGAGGGTGAAAGTTCACTGCCGTGGGCTGGATTTGGAAGGAAACGGAGAGATGTCACCGGCTGTCAGAGTTCTCAAGCCTCTAAATAGGAACTATTGGCTTGGTAACATGGAGGCACTTGTTCCTGTGCTGTAACTTCTCCTTTTCTCTCTCTCTGTGTGTTCCATCAGGTAAGACTGAAGAGGATTCAGCAGCCCTTACTGCCTGCAGATGATGTCCATCTCCTACCGTATTTCGTCTTTCTCATGTCCCTCTTTTTCCGTGACCTTTACCCCTGTAACCTTTCCTCTTGACTGCCCCTCCCCTCCTGCTCTGCCTCTTGCTCTGCCACTCGCAGCTGAAGCAACACGCCTTGCTGTGGCTGGTCAAACGGAACCAAGTCAGGTGTTTCTGTGAGGTTTGGTCCCCTTCAACCAGCTACTGCGCCGTGAATTCAGTCAGCACACACCGGCTGGGAGTCAAACACGCAGTGACGTTGTGGTGTAGCGCTGCTTAATATGGAGGTGGTGAATAGAATAGATTTTACAGCACAGATGCAACGTGAATCTTCTTTAGGAGCACTATATTGATTGTTCATGGTAATATGTGACTAGAAACCAAATAAAAGATCACTGACGATGTACAGTGTTGAATTCCTGTTCTTCTGATTCACGTTCAGTCCATTGTGTACTCGAGGAAAAACACAAAGATACATTAAGTGTAGCAGTTGAGTCCACCTTATTCTGCAGAATAGACTCTGACCCAGTATGAGATGATATAAATATGAGGCCTAAAATGGCAGCAAAGTATAACTTAGTAAATTATTTAAACAGAAAAATAGCGCAGGTGTAGCAGTGCAGGGATAGACACTGTAGAATAGATGGGAAAAGCCAATATTACAGTCCGGGCCAGAGAATTCAGTA